TCTTTGGACATTTACCTGTATAAAAAGCCTCAAAAATCCGTAAATTTTGCAAAAAATCCATACAACTCGCAGGAGGAAAGCAGAGCGGAAAACATTCAAAACTTATTTCTACCGGCAGAACAGGTTGGAAGATGGCTATTTAATGTTATTATTGTTTTATAAATCATCCTACAGGCTCTGACATGTTAGATAAATTTGAAAATGAAGTTTTGAAAAAAATCCGTGCGATTGCTCTATACGTCCTTATACCTGCAAAATGACATAAAATCATTATAACCTACGGACAATCCGTACAAGTTGACGTATGAATCTAAGATTACCATAGTAGGGGTTCAAATTGGGGTGGGTGGGACATAGTTTTTAGGGGGTCGGGGGGGGTTGCACTTCAACTCGCCTAGGGCACCAAAATGGCTAGAGCCAGCACTGTTCTGATCGTTGCTCTCAGTGCAGCAGCTCGTTCTGTTTATGAATCGTGATGCTTCTGAAGTCGTCTCGGACGCTCCAGTAAAAGCGTTTGTCCTCCGTTGGTTTCTGTCAGACCTGCACTTGGCCGCAGAGCTCGGAAAGACTCTCTTGGAACGCAACAAAGAGCTGGAGGACTCCCTTCAACAGATGTACATCAACAACGAGGAGCAGGTGCAAGAGATCGAGGTGAGTCTGCAGCTGCTGCTCCAGTCCTGTCAAATGCAAGTCTTGGCAATTCAAAACATCTGAGCGTCAGCAGTCATGAAGTTTTCATTGTTATTAGTCTAAGTGGATAATTTGTGCTCCCAACTTCTTATTTGTTTTGTTGAAATAATTTGAAACAATCTATTGAAAACAACTTTACCTGAATATTTACACGTTTCAATTTTGATGACTCTTCACTCTTTTTTGYAACCATTTCATTGTGTTAATATTGAGTTAGAAAGAATAAATATTTGCTCCCCGTGTGCAGTATTTGTCCAAGCAGCTGGAAACGCTGAGGGAGATGAACGAGCAGCATGCGAAGGTGTACGAACAGCTGGATGTGACGGCTCGAGAGCTGGARATCACCAACGAGAAGCTGGTGCTGGAGAGCAAGACCTCGCAGCAGAAAATAGACAGGTGAGCCGCAGCAAAGTCGCAGAGACTTTCTGCAACAYGCTGCTGGTTTGTGTTGCGTGGGATTTCTGCTTGATTTCTGACACCGTAATGGTGGAAAAAAACAAAAACAAACGTTGCTCGGTCTGTTCACACAGGAATACACGATGTATAGAGAATTAGTTGCCATATGTGCAACCACAGGGCTTACTACTTCAGAGTCCAGAGAGACTGCAACTGAAAATTTGTTTATTTAGTTTGATAACTGTGAACGTTTGTGTGTGCAGGTTGACCGGCACCATGGAGACTTTGCAGGGTCAGGTGGACGGCCTCATGGCTCGCGTTGAGGAGCTGCGGACTCTGGAGGAACTGAGGGTCCACAGGGAGAAGAAGGAGCGTCGCAAGACTGTCCACTCCTTCCCTTGCCTGAAGGAGCTCTGCACGGCTCCCAGGTCGCCTCAAGACCATAACATGTTACTAGATATTAAACTGATGGTTCAGTCTCAGATCTTTTTTTATTACCTTAAAAATATTCATTGTGTAAATGCTGATTTAGCATTTACACAAGTTTTAGCCATTCACATCAAAATATCTTTATAAGATTTTACACCACAGAAACACGTTAAAATAACTTCACTTTCATCATAAACATTCTTTCTTTTGACATCTGTTTCATTTTATTTGTTTTTTTTATTTTCTTTTGCTATTTTTAGCTTTTAATGATACGCTGCTTTTAGCTAGTGTTTTGCTATTTTTAGCTAGCATTTTGCAACTTACAGATTTTATATTCTTTTTGTTTTCCTTTAACAATTCAGTTTCAACTTCTTCAGTGAACTTCAGAGCATTCAGCTCTCAGTAGTTTCCAGTGGTGGGCACAGTTCCCCTAAAGCACTAATAGGGGAACTAATTTCCTGATTAGTGCTTTAGGGCTTTTGCTAATTTTAAAATTTATTAGTGGATTAGCACTTGCTAAATTTAGAAGCACTAACTGAGGTGTATAAATGTTCTTGATCAACATTAATGTTAACAGCTGAGGGTGAAAGCTGTCACTCATTTGTTCAAATGTCACTTATCCACAAGGTGACAATATGAGCCCAAATACGGCTGTGGAATGTCAATGATGAGTCTTAAGAGAGCAACGTGGCAATATGTAACTCATGTTGTCTGTTGAAGAATGTTCATGGGTTGACTGGGTTATTTTAGTGCTTTAGAATTAGCTTTTCATAAATTTTCTCCATGTTAGTGCTTTAGAATTAGGGGACCTTAATATTTGAGTTAGTGCTTTAGGGCTAGTGGAACAAATTTTTAGATTAGTGCTGCCCACCACTGGTAGTTTCTAATGAAATGGGTTACGATCATTCAGGGGAGGAGCCAGAGGGGTGGCCCGGGTGGCAAGTGCCAMCCCTGGCAACTGATTGGCCACCCCAAATAATTGACAAGTGGGGGTGGTGATCACATTTGACAGCTGATTGAAGGCCATTTAGCTTTGGTGGACATCTTGGATTATTTTTAATTTGATTTTAGAATATGTTGGGCATCGTTAAATTTCAGCTTAATATCCATAAAAGCTTAAAATTGACATTTCAAAATGACATGGGGATTGCTCTTGGCTAACAATTTCCAAATTTCAGCTCAGTAGTTATAAAAAAAATGACTGATATACAACTACTGGAAATTAGCTTTGGATTCTTGACTACTACTGTAAAGATTTCATCTGTGTATTCATTGGCTGAATTATAGCCCTTTGCAGAATTAGCATTAGCTTAATTTGGGATTAGCAATCATTCTTGGCCACAGCATAATAAATTTTAGCTCAATTGATCTTAAAATAGCTGAATTATRGCCATTTGAATTTAGCTGTGATAGCCATATTAAATGTTCAAATCCAGGGTAGTTTATTTATATGTGCCCCCCAAGATGTTGATTTTTAGTTTGTTTTGAGAATATTTTAATTTGTTTTATTATATAGTTTTAATTTCTGGATTAGTCTTTTATTATGCACTGTGAGTGTTGTGTGTTTGACTGTGACTGTACAGCACTTTGGTCCTATGGTTGTTTAAGTGCTTTATAAAGTTGGTATGGTATGGTATGGTACGGTATGGTATGGTATATCACATTGGCCACCCCCATCCCACCCCTTGCAAAAAAAGGTCTAGCTCCGCCCCTGCTGTCATTAGCTGTAAGCAAGTCTGTTTGTTGATCTGATTGTGTTTTATTTGTTTCTGATCCAGTGATGTGACTCTTTGTTCAGGTATGAGGATGGTTTCCTGCTGGCTAACCCCGGCAGTGTGGACCTGGTTGAGCGACAGCCCCTGGATGAGGAAAATGAGCGCCTCAGGGACATCGTCTCTTCCCTGCACTTGGCCGTGGCCTCGGAGCGGTCCGCGCGCGAGAGCGTCGAGCGGGAGTGTGCCACCGTGCTGCAGGAGTTTGAGCGCCTGGAGCAGCGCCTCCTTGGCGCAGAGGGCTGCCAGCTGCGTGTCCAGGAGCTGGAAGCTGAGCTGCATGAGATGCAGCAGCTCAGCAAGTCCAGGGTGTGTTTAATGGGAGACATAGAGGACGGCTTGAAGACGCTGCTCAGTAACGGCCCCGAGATGGACACCCCCGACGAGGGGACGGGGCTGGAGGAGGACGGCGAGGGAGATGCTGGTGGAACGGGGCAGCAGGGAGGCCCGGTGAGAAAAAGCTGCAGCGACACGGCCCTGAACGTCATCTCCGCTCCGTCGGGAAGACGACAGGCCAGTTACACCCTCCACACCAACGGCACACGCAAACGGGGCATGTCCATCCTGCGGGAGGTGGACGAGCAGTACCACGCCCTGCTGGAGAAGTACGAGGAGCTGCTGGGGAAGTGCCGGCGCCACGAGGAGAGCCTGTGCCACGCCGGGGTGCAGACGTCACGCCCCGTCTCCAGAGACCCCTCCATGAAGGAGTACAGCATGATCCCCGTGGAGCCGTCGACATCCGGGGCTGCCGCCGCCGCCGCCCCTCCCACACCACCACAAACCCCTTCCACCCCAGAGGCCCTGGAAGGGATCAGCAGGCAGGTGGAGCAGGTGGACAAACGCCTGAGCCAGAACACGCCGGAGTATAAGGCGCTGTTCAAAGAAATCTTTTCTCGGCTGCAGAAGACCAAGAGGGACGTGAACTCCAGCAAGGGCAGAAAGAATAACAAATGACACTAAAACAGCTGGAAAAAAAAATCAGGTTCTGATTTTTGGAAGTGGGGTTCTGTGGAAAATTTACACATATCTGTTCATCAGATTAGAGAAATTGATTCTGACCAGACTGATGAGCTAACGGCTCGRCCAAGTTCGGCCTGGGCCACTAACAGCAGGAATATCCCAACATTTCTGCCAGAGTATTGATGTTTGTGTAAACTGCTAGATCGTCTCTTTGGAGATTGGACTTGTTTTAAAATGAATCTATTGGTCTTTGGTCTTGCTCAGACGTTTGCTCCTTAATCTGGTCAGACTTGAGCCTTAATTTCTTTAAACTGAGGTCCTGCAAGGAGCCATCTACTGCAGGTAAGATATTAATATTCATGTTTCCACAGAACCCCACTTTCATCACAGATCTACAGTATTCCTACAATTGATTTTAAACTACTGAACACTGAATCAGAAAGTGGATTATTTTCTGTTCCTTCAAAGATAAGCTACTTATTGTTTCATATTAATAAGCCAAATGTTACATTTTTGTCGTTTTCTTGTTCAGAACTGAAAATATGGCCGTGTTGTGATGAGTTTGATTAATTAGCATTTACACTGATTAATCTAAATCTGATCTAAAACAAACTAATTGGTTTTAAAAGCATCTGTAGTGTGTAATCTAAATTATAGAAGCTTTAGATCAAAACATTAAATTGTGAATAAAGTTACACACAGTCTGAAGACTTTAATTTGAACACGAGATCAGTAAACTGTTTATTAAAGACAGCACACATTGATTTAAACTCATCTCACAGAGGAAAAAACCATCAGTCCATAACACATGAAGTGWATGAAGATGCCATCCACATTTATGGAGTGTATAAACAAAAACAAAGAACACTTTGTGTGGTTGGGAGGGCTGAGGTTTGATTCTGAAGATAAGATTTCACTTCAGGGATGAAGGGCGTAGAGGCAGAGATAATCAAGAGTACAGAGCGAGCTGTTCATCAGCTTCCATGTCCAACTCAAACGAGCTGTGGGACGCCCGGTGAAAGCCCCCCTGTACAAACTGGATTCATTAGGTTTTCAGACAAGTACTAAAAGTAAAGATATTATCCAACACGTCAGTGTAATGGCTTTTTCAGACTTGAAATAAAGACGATTCCAATCAAGTCTTGATTCTCTATTTATTATGAACTGTATCAACCAAACAGGCTCACGTGTTTATTCTGAAGGCAAATGGCTCATTTAAGTCCAACAGCTGTTAAGGCCACATTTGTTTAAAAAAAACAACAACTTTAAAATAACCCTGCTCAAGAGAACAGCCACGATTAAAGCAAGGGGTCAGAAATAACCGTTCCCCCCTGCTCTCTGTTCAAATCTAAACTATCAGAGTCTAAATAGTTTAGATTTGACCCAAACTACACATAATCTGCTCAAAGGCTTTAGCAGGACCGGGTCTGAGACACCCAGCAAGGACCGACCCTACAGAGACCACTTATCCAAGGCAGGTCATGGCAATCGTACAAAACAGCATGAMAAAGGTAATAAACAGCTGGAAATCAGATATAAACCATATATATATTTTTTTACATTTCTTATAAACCTGAAAAATCTGGATTATGCACATTGTGTTCTCCATATTTATATTTATATATCTATTTTTTGAAGATTTAATACTTGTCAGAAAAGGCTGGTGTAAACAAATGAAGCGTTTTACAAAAGAAGAGGAATGATGGTGTGATTGGAATCTAGGAAATGACTAGGAGCAGAGATGGGAGGCTGGAGAGAAAGAAATATAAAAAAAAGACCATTCCAAAAAGAAATGGAATGAAGGAGAAGAAAGCTGGGTGAAGCAGGGGGGGAGAGAGCGAGGTCAGTCCTTCCAATCCTTCTTGATAGCGAGACTCCACTCCCAGGAGAGGTGGTCATACTTGTCGTCATCGGTGAACTTGGACTTGATGTTGTAGGTGCCACGGGTCAGCATCCCTTTGGGCGCCTCCTCCATGGTGGTGAGGAACTCGTACTCCTCGGCCGGCCTCGGGCCATAGCTTCCAACCATGTAGTCTGTCTTATCCACTGACGGGGGGACAGAGAAATGTGGTTGGAGAAAACCTCTAAGACACAATGAGCGACTGTCCTGACTGCACAGTTACAGGAAGCTTGGGAGCCAAAACGTGACATAACTTTTGCTACATCTGGACTAACTCTGGGTTTGTTTTGATCCCTAAAACCAAACACAGTTGGAACTAGATGTTTACATACGCCGCCATCTTTCTCACTGACAATAAACCAGACACCTTTTCTGTTTTACGTCAGCTGGGGTTCCCAGCATTACTTCTACTTGCTAAATGCCAAAATAACAAAAACATACTTTCAAAGTCACAAGTTTACATAAACCAAGGTTACAATGCCATTTGAGAAACACACATCATCATCATCATCATAATGTCAAAGCAAAGATAAACATTACATCATTTGGATCATCTTGGAACAGATGTCCTTAATGTTCTTTACGTTAGTAAAACTAACTGATGAACTGCTGGACAGACGTTAATAAAACTCAATGTAAGGACTGAACATCTACACTTCATTAATGTTTGGAACCAGCCCAATTCAACATTGCTGCCAACAGAAAATTGGCTTATTTTTACAGATCTTGAGATGATTGGTAGCCAAGAGTCATCCTACGCATATTCTGAATTTTGTTAATATTTTAAGTTATGGACTGCAACACAAACAACTGGCTTGCCTTAGCTACTTGGTTACCTTCTCAAAACGCTCTGACAAATTCCCTTGTTTCCACACTTAAGCTATGCTAACCAGCTGCAGGTCCATGCTTAATGACTTAAGAATTTTTGATTCTTCATTACATAAAAACACATCTGAAAGAAAAAACACGCTTGCACACCAAAAACTAAAAGTGGTATCAGTAAAGTAAGGAATAAAAAAGCTCTGTACCTTTGACTCCTTTCCTGAACGTCTGCTGTATGTACTTCAGACCTGATACGATTTCCTTGTTCACCTGCAAAACCAAATGTGTTTAATGAGCTTCCCAAATCCCACAGGACAACTAAAGTTTACTACACATGAACAATTTATAACTGGAGACAAGAAGTCAGAGATAAACAGAGCACAGCAATACAAACCTTGAAGTTGATCTTTATTCTATATTCAACTCCTTCCTTGAGTGTGAACGGGTTCTTCTTGAAGTTCTCCAGGTCTCCTGAAAGGGGAACAAATATAGTTTTAGGATCCCTGTAGTAACTTGACCACACACCAGGGGGCGCAGTGCTTTAACTGTCCTGTTGTGCTTCACTGTGACCACTGAGGGGGGACAAAGAGTCCCACCAGGAAGCGTCTCATTAACCTCTTAAGCCCCAAGGGGTTTTCTTGAAGTTTGTGCTCGAAAAAGCATGCCCAAATGTAAGTGGGTGTATCTCAGCATCTAAAAACACCATATAAATACCCTTGATATCAAAATAAGGCTAACACTTGGGAGATTTCATCAGGAGTGTGTCACATCATATGCTTTTGTTTCAGAGATACTGAGGATGGAACATAGAAAAAAAATAGCTTTTTTTTYCCACTCGCCTGAGGTTTTTCTGCATTATACAGTATATAACCTTTTCAAAAGTATAATGAATAAGGCTAAAAACTCTTGGAAACCATGAATCCACTTATGGACATTACCTGTGCAAAACCTCATGCTGCTGAAGTAAAATACAACAAAGTTACAGAGGTTTTAGTAAAAAAAAATATGTAGGTGTTTTTCCTTTGGCACAGATTGGCACAAATTGGCACATGTTGGCACCACTTACAAAAGTAAAGTTTTTTTAAGTTTTTAGTTACAAAACTTACAAAACTTGATAAATAAGTAAGCTAACTTGCAAAAACGGCACATTTTATATTTTATTTTTTAAACGGCACGTAGACACAACCGGAAGTGCGGTGTGTGACGCTGCGCTTTACATGTAAAACGTGTTTTTAGCTTGGAGGAGCTTTCAGCCTTACGCGGGACTATAACTTCAGTTTGGATTGGCCGAATTGCACAAATGACCCCTCCTTTTCATCCTTGGAACCAGTAGAATCAAGCTATCTACAGCACGTTCAAGTAAAACTGACCAATCTCCCGCTACAAGGAGAGGAAGGTCTGTGACGCAGTTTGAAAGACTTTCACCTTCGTCCAATGAACGTCTTGTAATTGGGTCAGACGGGGCTATTTTGGAGGAGGAAGTGCTTGAAACTCATACCGGGAAATATAGTTGCTCTGTAAATACAAGTTTATGCCAGTGGATTTAGGATTTGGAGGAAAAAATATGAAGGTAAGAAAACTTATGTTTTATAATTTTCAAATCCGAGTGCTAGGTCTTCTCGTTTTTTGCTGCTAGTTGAGTGAATTCTGGTTGGATTGTGATGAAACTAATATGTTTAGAATCTGTGAGGTCTCTGCTTTCAGGAGACATGTTTGTGTGTGAAAAAGTCACGGGGTGAACAGCTGAGACCGGGTTTTGCAGAGGCGCCATTTTTGTGCAGTTTGTTTACATACAGATTCAGGGGTAGACATAAGGAAATTTKTCAGGTTGTCCAGTGGACAACCTGTTGACAAAACCTGGTTGTCTGCAAAACATTTTGGTTGTCCAAAAGAATCTCAAGAAAAATGTAATTTAACAAGTATATTGTTCTGTAGACGATGTTTATTATATATAATTGTTCTCAGTCAGCCAGGTTGACAGGAGCTGCATGAATAAAATTTCCTCATTCTCTTCTTTGAAATAGAGTGCAACATTCATAAGCTTCTTTCTGCTCATAGGTCAAACATTTTCACTTACATAGGAGTATACTATGTACATAACCTTATTAAAAGTTACAATTTAGTGTTCTGTTTTACCAAGGTTTTTCTCCCATTCATTTTTACAATGACAAACACCCGCGGCAGAGGACTTTAATCAAGGTCTTTTTTGCTTGGTTGTCCACCGGACAACCAGGAGACAGGATCTGGTTGTCCGAAACGAAAATAGGTTGTCTCGGACAACCTAAACAATGGTTATGTCTACCCCTGCAGATTCAACTGTGTGTTGTTGTATCTGTGTCTGGTGGATGTAGAAATGGTTTCTATGAGTTTTTAGCCAAGATTCTGATGTTTCTATAGATACCACACGTTTACCTATGAGAATGTTGGTTAATTAAGAAAGCAAAAAAAATAATATGATTTTGCCCCCGCCGGCAGGGGCGTGGGGCTTATGGTGCGTTCACACCGAACGCGATTTCAGCGTCAAAATCKCAGCCAACGCTGAAGTTTGAAGCTTGTGCACTTTGAGGTCAGACGCAGGACAGCTGCGCTGCACGGCGACAGCCGCCCCGCCCCTCCCTCCTCTGTGGGGCTGTTTAATGTCGGACGAGGAAGTGGCTTTGCTTTATTTACAGACAGCCAGAACGTGTCACGTTCATCAGATAATTAATTCATAATTAATTCACCAGATAATTCAGAGTAGAGGCTCACAGCTCACTTTCAGGACTATTTTTTTCAGTCTGATGAGTCGCTGCCATGCATTGCTGCGGATCAGGACACGACTGCAGGCACTCATTTCAGCTGAAGAGCTCCTCTCTGTCTGTTTCAGGTTAGTGGACATCATTCAGTAAACTGTCCCGTCGGGAAATATGTCACTACGTCACACAGTGGAGTCTCTCTGATTGGTTGACGCTGCGCGTCGAGCTGCAAAAGTTCAGATTTTCTAACTTCAGCGATTTGGACGATTTGGACGATCTGAGCGTTCGACGCTCAGATCGTCCAAATCGTCCAAATCGCGCTGCTCTAATCGTGCTTGAGGCGCCGCAGAACTTCCCGACGTTGCTTGAAGCGCGTCCACCATAGACTTTGTATGTAAACCTGCTGCTCCTGACGCTGAAATCGCGTTCGGTGTGAACGCACCATCAAGAGGTTTTAAGCCACTTGCACAAGAATCATGTCATTACTAATTCGTGGACTAATGATCCAGCTGGTTGCTTCGTCTGTATTTGCACACAAGGATGGTAGTGATTACACACTTCCTTCAGAGCGTGGGACTTCAGAGATCCCACCTGCATCTGTCCTCTAAAACCTGTTTTCATTCCCAACTAGAGTCAGATCAAACCTGCAGTACAGAAACTCACCAGTCAAGTCGAGGACCAGAGGACCCGGCGCTGTTTCACAAAGCAGGGTCATTCGTGTCACCTGGACATTCGGGGCACTGGGATCTATAAAACAATATTCATAAAATAAAAAAACAGGTTAAAGTTGTCTAAATTAAAGCATGAAATTTGGGCAGAATCCAATTATTTCTTTCAGTTTACTAAGAAGGGATCAGTGTTTTATACCAAAACGGACTGGTTGTTTACAGACTTCACAGCAGACACTAACACATTTAAATTAATGTTTTATTTTAACCACCTGAAAACAACCCTAGATCACCAGAACCTGTACCAAGTATTTCTGACGCAAAGAGAAAACCTGGGAATTCAGGTGAGTGACACAAGGGTTTGCAATCACCGTTGTTTACATGAAGAGGCTCTAAAGTCTGAATGTGTGCAGAAGTTGGGATCGGTACACACCCAAAGAAAAATTCCAAACGGATAAATACAAAATGTGCTGGCTGCGGTGGAAGGGGAAAACGAAGCTTGTGCAGACTGAATACTTGAACTGTTGTCACAACAAATAAGGGATGTTGTGGACTAACAATGAAACAAACCAACAGGTTTGAGGAATAACTTCATGGATACAAATGAAAAAAAAAACTTCATGCTTCTGTGTTCTGGCACATCCTAAAGGATCATGAGTTTTACTCGGCGGCCACGTCACCAACCTGCGACCACRGCAGTGTTTCCCAGCAGCGCCTCCTTGTACTTCCGCAGGCTCTCGTCCTCTTTGTCCAGCTCCTGGATCTCCTGTAAGGTCTTCTGGGCAGGAGGTTTGTAGTTGATCGCAGGTTCTTTCTCTTCATTGGCTGCTGCGATCGCTGCCAGCTGCTCTGGTGTGGGCTCCTGCTCTGCCATGGTGTGCTAGACTGGAACAGCAGAGAGGAGAGAGTTAAATCAAAGACATAAAAACTGAGGTCCTTGCAATAGGGTTGGGCATAATCGTATCGCGTGCATAATCATCAGAAAAACAATCGATTACTTTTTGGCACTTGATGATTAATACGATTACTGCCACCAGGCAGACCGACTGGAGATTACTCCAGTCAGTCTGCTTGATGCTCCTCTTCGCTTCAAATATGATAAACATTAAAAATAAAGTTCTGTAAATTTTTTATCTATCAACACAATTTAAAATATGATGTATAGCATGAAGTCTGTAATTTTCACACAATTTGGAACAATTTTTTACAAAGAGCAAATTTTTTCCACTAAATTGGTCATGTGGCTACAAAATAAGGGTGTCCAGGGACTCCAGGGGATTAATTGTCAAATTAATCGTTGTCGGCTAAATACCACAATTAATCGTGATTATTTTTTTGCCAATATTGCCCAACCCTACCTTGCAAACAGAGGGGTTTCCTTTTCATAAATGATGTTGCTTTAATGAAATCGACATGTGAAAAGAAGCAAAGCAGCAAAGACGTCCGGCTGCTGGATGATTTTAGAGGGATTATTTATTCACGGTGACCTTTGACCCAAAAGCTGGAGACATAAGCAAGTGCAAGCAGAAAGAAACTAAGTGAGCTTGGCTACATGCACTACTGCTCCTGTATACAGCGTGAAATACAAAACAACACTGCAGAAAACATACAAAAGAACAAGCCTTCTGTCCAAGCAGATAGAAAAGGGCCATCTACAGGTTGGCGTTGTTTGTAAATGTTCACTTTGAGACAAAATAATTAGATGTTTCTGGAATCAGACAAGTTTTTAGCTTGCCCTGCTTTATCCAACACCCAGAAACCCACGAATCTGTGAATCACTGTCGTTAAACAGCTTGCTCCATGTGCTCACTGAGACAACCTCTGTAGTTAGGATCCACTTCACCCTTTCAACAYCGAAACAGAAACAGAAATAGAAGTGATACACTACATCAGTAGTTTGTGCCGAGACTCAAATTAATTTGCTGGTTCCTCTGCTATAACCTACACTCTGAAACTTTATAACCTTGACATTTGCATGATGACAAAAGTCARCTTCCTGAAAAATAGAGAACTCAAATAGGCTCATGTGTCAAAGAAATGTGCTCTGGGTAGGTCCTCGACTGAAATAAATTCAATTAACTTTCAGTGCTGACAAATAGAATAAAACTTGGAAGCAGAACTGGTCTAAAGTGAAAGAGGAAGGTTTAAGAGAAACAGTCTCATTGTTTACATTAAAGTCTCTTATTTATAAACAAAACAACAAAATTAAGTTGACACAAATCAGTTAGCACAAGAGAAGCAAAGAAATCAGACAAAAGCAAACATTTAAACCACTATAAAAACAATCCTGTGACACCTGTTCAACACACTACAAGTGGCTTAATACTATGAAGTTTAACCCATTATATACATTTGAGTATGAGTCACTGAGTGTCTATGCATTTCTTTCCCTAAATGGGGCCTCTGCGCAGCCATAAAAGCCTACATTCCTTCACAGCCAACTGCAAGTTTCAACCGGTCAGCTGTGAGAGAACAGGYCGGAGGAGTGAGAGCTGCAGAGCGAGGAAAACCGGAGCAGGTGACATTTGTGCCATCGTGAAGTTTTTTTTTTTTTTTCAAAAGTCAGGGAGTGCGTTGTCAGTCTGGCTTCTTCTGCAGCAGAGTTTGTGACAAGGCAGGAAGTGCTCAGTCAACGATGACTGATGTGCTGAAAACTCTTCTCTACCAAAATGCATTTGATCTTAGATCACAACTATGCGCACAATTTCTTTAAAAACTATTCTGGAGAGAGAAACGTGCAAATCTGATCCTGGAGATAAAACTGAGAAAGTAAAACGGACACAGTGAGGGGTGAGATAAAGCACTGACAAAAACAAAAAAAGTTTCTAGGAGTGTTATGCAATGCCTGCCAACCAACACATCATTTAGATGCCTCTCTAATCAACAATCGAAATGCTGATTTGGCAAATTGTTGCCCACACGCTCTGGATACCTAACTGACATCACCGCAGTTATTCAGATATAAGATATTCTCTTCCTTCAGGCTCCAACAATGCGAGCAGMGGTTTAAGTGGCCTCATGCTTTGTTGGCAGGAAAAGGCGCTGTCATTGTTCAGCCTGCTGGGAATCTGCTACGCCGTCACAAGACTGAGCTGAGTTTCTAGTGTCTCTACCTGCACAGATCTGCAGGCTGCATTCCCCTGAGGAGGGAGGGAGGGGGAGGTGAGGTGAGGAGAAACAATCCATCTGACTGGGATTAATGCAGCAGCAGGAAAAACCTTAAACCGCCATTCTTGGCAGCAGATGTTAGGTCTGTTCATTARCGAACACAACTGAGTCTATTAAAAGTTGAGGTTCTTTATAGAGTTTCTATTATTTCTAGCTTTTTAGAGGGGAATTGGCAAAGGAAAAGAAGTTCTGCAAAGTGTTTTACAGTGTAGATAACATACAAACTCAACAATATTTGTGATTAGACCCRAGTTTGATCCAAAACTTAGACATGATTAGTGGACAAACCACTCTGTTACCTGAGCCTCAGGTGGGTGAGCAGTGACTGAGGTCACTGTAGGACAGATAACATTGATACAGTGACAAAAACAGGTTAAAATATTCAAATGTATTAGACTTTATTTATGTTTGTTACGTCCRAGTTTTTTGGGCTGCATTTGCTAAATTAAACTCTGAAGCCATTATGAATTTCATGCAATAATATAGGACAATTCAAACAAAATTAAACTTTCCCCTCATTTGGCTGGTTAAGGTTTAAATGCTGAGAAGTAGGGATGCAGAGGGTGCTGCAGCAGCACCATGCRATGGATGCAGAATTCCATCCAAATGTATAGTTTTATTAAAAAAATTAAAACAGGTTTTATCAGTACTGGACATTTAAATTCTAATAGTTTGATGTCTGAATTTCATAAATTAGGTATACAAACCAATAAGTGGGGCTGGGCAAAAATCRTATCATGTGCAATTGTCAGTAAAATGGTTAGCAATTAATATGTCCCACTTTGCAATTACTGTAATTCTTGCCATGTGAGGAAATATTTTTGTGTGTGACACCATCACCATACCATCAGGTGCATGTGAGCCCAATGGTAGAAGACAGTATAACGCAGCTATTGCTAACCCTACAAACTTGTTTACCTGAAACTCCAACATAAACCAGTGAACAAGGGAAGGCAGAAAGGCAACAAAATCAGCCACATTCAAGTGTCATATATTGTCATTAATTGTTATCTGCTAAATGGCACAATTAAACATGATAAATTTTTATGTCAATATTGCCCAACCCTACCAATAAGTATTGTACATCTGTAAAACTTCCCATCCACCTTAAACCCCTGAACAGTAGGCAGGGCAGCATTAGGTCATGATTGCAATTTTATTGATATCATCTTTAGGGGTGTCCCGATTCCGATACCAGTATCGGAATCGGATCCGATACCAGCATCAAGTACTCGTACTCGTACTCGTACTCGTAAAAGCCAGCCGATACTCTTAACCGATACCACTTTTGTCCCCTCCAGTGCTGCGCTGCACAAAGGGTAAACAACAATCCATACCAGGCGGGGGCGCTAATGCACTGACAAGT